CCTCTCTGTTTTCTGGAATGAGAATGGTGCTTCCAGACCTATGAATTCACAGTGTTTTACCTAGTACAGGACAGAGCTTGATTTTCTTCTCCCTTGTAAAGCAACTAAGGAATTATTTGAGAACTGTATTTGCTGATTCAGAGAAATAGGTTCTTAGAAGGTAAGCAACTCTGATTTCTTTTTAGACATTGTGCTTCAGCAGAGATATAAAACAGTTTGAGAGCAGAGAGAACAGCAGCATAGACCTAGGTGGCTTTACTAAGAGCAGATGCACCATACTGAGCCAAAAATGTGTGCATATGGTTTTCAGGAAGGCAGTTCCATTTCATTATTGGAACTGATGGCCAGAAGTTGTTTGATTTCTAAGCAGTTAGCACTCATGTTTCTTAGATGTGAAATGGGTCCATTTTTACAAAATATGTTGAGAAATATGTTAGAGACTACTTCAGGGGTGACTTAATTTCTTCTCTTTTTTACTAGTTCCCAGGGCCTTCTGTGCTAGTGACAGACACAGCAGGTCTGATACCAGGTATCCTCCTGCCAATAGGCAGGTGTTGCAAGCCTTCAGAAGATGAGAAAATGAAACCTTGCACATCTACATGCCCCAGTTAAAATCTCTCTCTGAGTATTTGTCAGCTTGCCCATCTTGGTGGAAATCTGCACTTCAGCAAAGGCTACACCCAGAGAACTGTTGCAGGTTCTCCAGAGTACCGAGAGTTTCTGCTCTTGTTTTGTTCACTTATACTCTGAGCTTAGTCCCTGGCACCCACTCTAGTAATTTGAGGTCAGACAAAGTACTTCAGCACTTCTGGTTTGTCTCTAGCTTGTCTTTCATTTCTCTTTTGTAGACTTGGAGCTCTGAAGCCCCTTCAAGAAAGAGAAGAAACCACAGTGGAAGACGAGAGCCTTGCATGCTTGTTGAAAGCCGTTTCCACTCAACCTTTGTTTCATTATCAGAAGTTGGTTTTCAAAACCAAAGCATGCTTATTACTCCTCATCATTTACTTATATGTGAGACCACTGTTTTAGTACTGTCTATTCCCAGGCAGCAGGAAAGAGGAAGCTGATAGATCACAGCAGGTTTAGCCTCTGGGCAAGGTAGTGGACCATTGTGTGTCTGTGAGGGTCCCAGCTGGGGAGCTGGTAGTGACAGTATAACCACAAGTTACATAAGGTGAGGTTTTGTGTCCTGCTTTCCTCCCATGACACATGTTGCCTGTAGTTAAGGTTAAAAGTGAGCTGTAGTTAACCTTTTAAATATGAATGTCTTGAGAAAATGGAGGGTCTACTGAAGCTACCACTTCTTGAAGAAAACCGTGACTGTCAATGACTAAGGCATGGACAAAGGGACGTGCAAGTTATTTAATTATTTCTTTTTCTCATTAAATGTGATTTAAATGGCCTTTCCAAGAGGTTGTGGGCCTCTGAGGCTAAATCCCTGATATAAAGCTTAGTCAGTAAACTTCTGGGTATTAACAACTTAAAAAAGGATGAAGGAAATTTAACAGAAGCCACCCCTTCTTCACCATCTTTCCCATAATCCAGAAGTGCTAGAAAGCAGGCAAGTTTCTCAGTGCATACTAGAAGTCAACAATCCCATCTCCTTTACTGAGACAGGCATAGTTTTAGAGCAGGTTACATGAGAGAGAATAAATGTAGCCTCTGAGACTGCAGCTTGTGAATAGTGACTTTATGAATTACGTGGAGTTCTGCTTGAAGAACTGTTGTCTCTAAAACTTGAATACCAAATACCTACATATCAACAGGTGTGAGGTGAAGTAGCAATTCATGGTTTTCCAGAAGCAGTCCCCTGTCTGATAGACATTTGCGACCCAAGAGCTGGCAAATGAATAAAACCTCACACTATTCTAAATTTTTTATGACTTTATAAGGAAGCACAGTTTGGGGGGGGAATGGCTGCATAAAGTGTAACTAGGATGGTTGATGTGTTTTATGTCGTAGAACCCACGCATACCATCTGATCTTGTAAGAGGCTTGTGTGCTGTGTGGCGTGCTTGGGAGGGAGTAGCCAGTTACATGTTCCTCCCTTGCAAGAAGAGTTTGCAGTGAAGAGCAATAACTCTTCACTGCAAACTAAATAATGCAGCTTTGCTGGCATTAACAGGTCTTCAGCTTCACAGACTTTGCTGTTTTTCTTCCATGTGGGTTTGTGGGTGTAATTGAGAGCTGTACAGCTTTGTTTCTGTTCTTTGCACTTCCTGTGTGACTACACCTGTGCAGCATATTTGGTGCAAAAATAGCAAAAACAAGAAGCAGAAAATTACATACCTTAAACCACGTCTTAGGGAGACTGCACAGGAGCCGTACATCTCCCACAGACTGGGTCCCAAGCCTGTTTCCTTTAGTGCACTGTTGTGCTTTTGTGGTTTCCCTGCACAGTTTAACCTAGTGCTGGCTCCTTCCAGTCAGGCACTGAGCGCACAGGGTGAATCTTGACACTGCTCTGCTCCCACTGGTGTCCTGCCCCCCGCGCAGGATGCAACTCTGAAACCTGGAGATTGCTGAGCCCTAATGCAACCATCACTTGGTGTCATACCTAAAACGTGACATCATGTTATTGAGAGGTACAATAGATGATTCAGATAAATATGTAGCACTTGAAGTGACATAGTACAGACCTGCCATTCACTGCCCAGTTTTACAGCCAGTGGATGGTGGAAATAACAACCTTTGTATTTTCTTTCTGTGAAAACTGAGCAATGCTGTTCTTTATCTGAATGGATTATATGCACCTTAAGAAGCAGGTGGTTTCAGTCAGTGCCTTTTGTTTCTCTGCTTCAAAAGGCAGTCTTTCAACTTGTTTGCTTAAAAAAATGAACCTGCTGCGGGCTCCTGTGCTTCTCTTTTCTATGCTAGCATGTTTGATGGTAAGGAGGTAAGGTACTTCCTGTTTATCTACAAAAATCTTGTGTTCCAAATCAAACTTTGCTCTTTGGGGACCTCATTAAGTCAAAGTTGCCTTGCGTATGGGTGAAACAAGTCACATTAAGATTCTTCCATATGTGTTCAGTCTCATTCTAGGTCCCAATTGCCAGTTGTCATTCTGGGGCTGATCTGAATGGACCTGCTGGTGCTTTCGTCTGACTGGGGTGACAGAGGAAAAGCTGCAAAGCATCTTCAAGAACCATATTTTTTCACATATATCTGTTCTCTGGAAGAATGGCCTTTTTACTCTTTCCTTTCTGCCTGCAAGGCCTGTATCCAGGTCATGAAAAGTAATTAGAGAAGTTTCATGCCTTTTGTTCAAACCTGTTTAGGCTTGCCATTGAATGGCTCTCCTTGGTTTTCAGTTTGAGACCACTGATGTAGAATCTATTTCAGAGAAACATTTCTTTCTTATTTTGAAGTAGTCTATTTTCATAGACAAAATAGAAAATAGACAATTTCATAGACTACTTGTAGTCTACGAAAATAGTTGTACCTTTATCATCTGAGCAGTATAAAGGTCTATTTCTGGGCCTATTCATACCTAACTTGCTCCAAATTTCCCACTCCTTCAGTTTTCTACTACTTTTTTTTTTTTTTTTAAATGAGGATTATCAATGATTTACTGGATTGATAATGTAAATATTTTTAAAAAAAAAAGGAAAAAACCAACAACAAAATATCAACATGTCTAATGGCCTGAATTAACAACTTTTAGTGCAGAAACAATTACCATGGATTTTTATCCACACAGATACTGTGACTGACTTCAAAGGTGGTGGGGGAGGCAGAGCAGAAGTGTACCATGATCATAATAACCCATCTAGCTTACTAAAATAGCAGTGGGAATACATATGTGCTTAATAGCTTTGGTGTTAGCTGGAATGATACTAAAATGATATATGAAGATAGAATAGCCCTAATTTCTTCTATTAACTCGAGTGTAAATCATCTCGTGTGTTACGTGCAGCCTGAGGCCTAATACATCCTTCCTTTTCAACTGTGGTGCAAACTTTTAACCAAGTTAAAGACTCTGCTTGCTGCTGTAAGTCTCCTGGTGCAGATATTGCTAAGAGTAATTTTTAAGAGCATTATTTTGCAAGAGCAGATGCATGGTATCCAAACTAGAGCTGAATAAGTAGTGCAGGAGGAGGGTGTGAGCATTCTTTTCAAACCTCAAATGGCACCTTGGTCTTTACCTCCCTTTTATCTTCTTTCCCAAAAACCTGAGCATGAAGCATAATCACATTTATGTGCCAGTGCTGGGAGGAAAACTTAGCATGACACAGTTGTACGTAGCTATTTGTGAACAAAACTGTCTGATTTTGACTGCAGTCAGTCACTGTTGATCATTTGTTATTTCCGTGGACAGAAGCAATATGCAGTAATTAGCTAACAAATCATGCTACCAAGAGAAAAACAGAGTGCACTGTATTTCAATACTTTCTCACAGCTTATTTGTGAGAATTCTTTATAAATGGAAAACAACCTTCTCCTCCCTCTCTGTCTTCCACAATGTACAGTCACACACAAGTATTCACTTGATTTTGATGAGTAATAACTTTAGACAGTCATTGTGCTCAAAGAACTTTGCAAGGAGATAGAGTAAACTAGAATTAAAAACTGAATCATTGGAAGGATGTTCTTAGAAGCTTAGAGAAAAATTCTACCACAAACATTCTTAGCTTTTACTTGGGAGAAATTAGCCTGACTCAGTACCATCTCCCTCACAGATTCATTTTACATGTTTCCATACTATGAAAACCTTCCCCTTCTCTGCTTTGTCTATATTCAAACTGTAACCAATTCAGACCAGAAGCAGCATCCTGAAGAAGGGGAAAATAAGAAGGCTGACTGACTATTCCCCCATTTAAGAGACAAACACACAGTGCAGATACCCACCCATTGACACGGGCTGTGTTTTGCGTTCTGGTGCAGGGGAGGGTCCATGGGTTCTTAACAAAAGGGAAGTTTTCCCAAAAGGGAAAGGAACAACATCCTGGAGGGAAACTAGAACTGGGACTGCATGCAAAACGGAGAAGTCCTTGCCACATTTACTTATTTACTTTAAGGGAGGCATATTCTGTAAATGCATTTTCTACAGTTAGTTCTCTTCTCTGGCACCTCTCTGCCAAAGCAGAATGATTTAGTGCAGCATATGTGAGGACATCTGGGCTTTCAGGCAAACCCGGGATGGAAGGAATAACAGGATTATTGCGAGGTACATCGGGTGCTGTCCTCTGAGTGTTCCAGGGAAGGACATTGTTGTCATAAATTGTGTTGCTGTGCAAGGCCTGCAGTGGGCTAGCCGTGGAGCAACAGTAAAGTGAGGAGCTTGCTTCCGAACCTTCAGTTGTCCCAGCAGCATTGGATGGAGCAGCTGTTTGATGACGGACCTGCAGAAAACAGAACAGGGTTCTGCTCTGTGCATATCTGGTTGTTGCCTGTGCTCCTGCTACATAAGAGGTGTGTAAGATTTTGTTCTTAATGAAGTTGCTTTATCCCCTTAAAACTGTTTTTGAGCAGAGGTGAATTGGATTCACCTGGTCACTGGATTTTATATTGATCTTTGAAATAAAGTTAGAAATCATTCTTGTAACCCCTGCCTTTCTCCATTTCCCTTCCCAAACTCTCATGTCTTTTCTTGCAAGATACCAACTTAAGGCAAAACTGATTTATCATTTTGTGAGAGCTCTTCTATGCTACTCATTCAAGGCTTTCCCTTCTCCGTTTATTAAATCTTTCTTATTTTCACCTCCAAACCCCAGACTACCTTTTCCTGCCTTTGCCCCTGTTCTCCCATTTTCCAATCTCTTCCTTCTTATTCTCTTTGTCACATTATTTTTCAAATAAATTTTTCTCCTCCAAAATCTGTAACTTCCTCTATAAATTTATGTCACTCTAATGAAGCCCTCTTTTGACATCATTTTTCTAGACACTTAGAACATGCTGCTTGTAATTTTCTTTCCTTCAACTTACCCTTTGGGAGCTCTGCAGCTTGTCTGGTGCCCTTTGATCCCAGCCACCCTACCTCTGTGATTGATAGCTGTCAGCTCCATTTTTTGCTTTCTACCTTCTGTCCATCTAGTTTCTCTGGAAATGATTGCAAGACCTGTGTGAACTCAAGCTAGACACATACAAAAGTCTTTCTTTCCAAACATTTTCCTCACTCTGGGACATTTTTTGTCTTACACAGACTGAGCCAGATCAACAGAGGTGTTTTAGGTACCTAAACTCTTACTGGAATGGTACCTACAAATTAATACATTTTAACAGAACTTTAGATGCCTAAAGTACCTTTGTGACCAAGACCCTTAGTTCCTTCCCTCAGCTCAGCCATGGCGATATTTCACATCAGGCAAGCCATGATGTCCAGATAACAAGAGGGTCTCTAAATCTGTCTCCAGTCCTATGCCGTGCTTTGTACTACACAATGATTTTGTTTTCAGTACATGGTTATACATGACATGGTCAGGTTTTGATGAAAGAAAAATTTAAACATACCAGGCTCTCCTGTTTCTGTTGGGTTAATGGAGTTCTCTTTTGTTTTGCTGGGAAAAAGAGGAAAAAAAGGTGTTTCCATAAATCATTATGAAAAGGTACCTTTCTTCTTATGGAGGGAGTATTAATTACTACAAAAGTCCTTGCCTTCTTGATGGGGCCTAAAAGAATAAAAAACTATTTCCCAACTGGATTTGGGAATAACTATTCTGACAAAAGCTACGCAACACAGATTGATGTATTTACAGAATTAGTTTCTGTGTTTCACAGAGCTTCTCAGAATAGCAGCAGAAAAATTCCCAATGTACTTGTGGCCAGTTTTCTCTGAGTTCAGTAAACGTGGTAGGGAGAAAAAGGCACAGAAATTCCTAAAGCAATCCTATGAGCAAACATGTTACTCCTTTTTTTTTAAAGATTAAATAATTTCAATTTCCTAAAATGAAAAAACCCACCACACACACAAAAGAAAACCCCAAACACCAACCAAGAAACCCCATAGGATTATAACAGGCAAATGTGAGATCACTTAGATAAGATATATGGGGGACTCCAAGTTCCAATCTTGACTTAGGACATGAAGGATAGCTGTGTAAGAGTTTCTGTAAAGCAGGAGAGATTAATAATGTAATTATTTGATAATTTTGAAGGAAAACTAGGAATACAAAATGTAACTGGATAGAGCCTGACTGCATTTGCATGGCTGAAACTTCTATTTATTTCTAACTAACTTGATTATTTGCAAAACAGGAGGAAAAAAATCCAACTATTATAAAATCTGAGATTTTTATTTGTTCTTACTTTAATTCTGGAAGGTAACAAAACATGGGGCAAATGATCTTAAGGTCCTTTCCAACCTTATCTATTCTATGATTCTGTGATTCTATAATTCAGTAGCCTGATATATTGACAAAGACATCCCAGCAACCACTTGGAGTAATTATTAGACGATTTTTACAGAGCTTTGAATCCAACTTCTGTGAAGCTGTGAAAAGGAGCAGAATCAAATGCATACTAGGCAAATGTTAAATGGCAAAACTACTTACCATGGTGCCTCCTTAGACACCAAAACATGCATGTAACGATGAATGGAAAACACAGACCTACGAATGTTGAAGCATAAATAATGTGCAGTATCTTGTAGTTTCCAGATTCTTGGGACTCTTCTGAGATGCTTGTGGTATCTAGAATTGCATTGGCATGTATTAGTGTAAAGAAATATTTGACTGGCCTTTTTTGTGTGTGTTTTTGCTATTGTTGTTAGTTGGTTGGTTGTGGTGTTTTTAGTTAGGTCTTTCTCATTCAACTGTTTTCTTAATGTACTTAAACATCCTGTAACTTGGTACAGCACGTCATGAAATAACCTTATCTTCATGGGCATTCTACAAAGTATGAAGACATTGGAAGAAACAGTGTACAGGAAAGTGTAATCGATGAACAACGCACGGCAGCAGGCTGGCAGAAGCAAAGAAAGGGTCAGAACTAGAGCACTGCTCTGAATTTCCAGTATATTTTTGCAATTTCAATTGTGAACAATAACCAGCTGTGAGGGGGTTTTCCTGCTCTACTCCGCTCTCGTGAGACTCCACCTGGAGTACTGCATCCAGCTCCGGAGGCCCCAGCATCAGAAGGACATGGACCTATTGGAGCAAGTCCAGAGGAGGCCACAAGGATAATTAGAGGGCCGGAGCACCTCTCCTATGAAGACAGACTGAGAGAGTTGGGCTTGTTCAGCCTGGAGAAGAGAAGGCTCTGGGGAGACCTTATAGCAGCTTCCAGTGCCTAAAGGGGCTCATAGGAAAGCTGGAGAGGGAGTACATGGGAGAACATTACAAGGGTGTGTAGTGATACGGCAGGAGTAGTGGATTTAAGCTGAAAGAGGGTAGATTTACAGAATATATTAGAAAGAAATTCTTTACTGTGAGGGTGTAGAGTTACCAGGAGGTAATTTGATTGGCTTTGTTCCTATTATGCTGAATGCAGGAGAGTTCTCACCTTGAAAACTGTAACCCTTGAGAAGCTGAATTTTGTCCAAGTGGGAAGAAAGTAATTATAGTTTAACAATGAATTTAACTTGTCTTCAGTGCACAGAACACTAACCAGAAATTCATAGCAATACAGATTAGTTCCTTTATCTTAAAGAAGAAACAAGAATCAGAACTTACTTTCTGGTGAAACTGTGAGAATGTTTGCAGACGTTTCTGAAAGAGAAAAGCAAGAAAGGGAAATGAAACAGCAACCTGGCACTTTGCATGGCAGTTGTGTTCTGCTCACTGCGTACTGACGTCTTCACAGGCCCTCCTTCAATCTGGTCATGGAAGAGGGAGCATAATGCAAAAAGGGTAGGGTGTTCTGGGCTGAGGGGGATGATATGTTGGTCTCCCACTGCCAACAGAGTAATTCTATCTTTCAGACCTCTTTGGCATTCAAATAAATAGGTCAGCAGAACATATTTCAAAGGAAACTTGCATCGTAAGCTTGGCATGTACTGTGTCTGCTAGCACATTATAGCCATAAATTTTGATGTTGCTCCCTCTGTTTGGGCACTTTGTGTGGCATTAAACAAGGTTTTAAAGTTAGGTAACTTACTACGAGAGGAACTGGCAACAGAACAGCCTTACAACACAGCTGCCTGGGGTCAGTAGGACACCACAACCACACAGATCACTTTCTAGCCGCAGAGCAATATTGAGGGGGGCAAATGTGGCTTGTCATAATCTTGACTTGGCATCTCATTTGCTTAAGTTAATGTGAAGGCCTCACTTGCCCTTAAGAGTTAAAGCTTTTGTAATCTTTCCCTGTCTTGAACTTGGAGTACAAGATTGTGATTTCTCACTATTTTTTTGCAAGAGATCTTTCTCAACAAGATGCTTGAATTTCTTGTCCTCTCTACTGTTGTGTGGCCTCATCATCTGTTACTACATGACCGTTTGCACCCTGCCTAGTCCATGTGATATATAACCAGGCTGTCCTCCTACAATCTTTATTTTTGTTCCAACTGGTATTTTTTTATTATCAGATAGCTCACTAATGGCTGTTTGATGTTGGCTGCTTTGCTTTTCTCTTCCAAATCGTCCTCTTATTTCTGTGTTTTGTTCCTTCCTTTTTCTTTCTATCCTACCAAGAGGCATGTTTGAAGCATGAAGGAAGTGGCTAAGTACCAGCACAACTGTGCTACCAGTCAAACATGTTGGGAGAAGCCATAATCCAGCATGCAGGAGCTTTTCTGTACATGGCATCCTTTTGTTTAAAAGGGTTCTTTCATAATATATGAGCCTCACCTTCAACAATAATCAGTGGCTTTCACTGGAAAAGCTGTCTATTATTGCTTTGCAATGATAAAGTCCACTATCATTCTGATGAACTGAGGAAACCTCCAGAGTGAACACATTGGACTTTCACTCTGCTTTGCCCTCCTTCAGTTGCGTACATGTAGCCACCACTATCTTGCACCCCTGTGTGATTGGCTTTTTCTTGCAGTAACAAACCGGACAGTCTATGATCAAAGAATTCCCAACATAAATTTTGTACTCAGAGTGTCTTTTACCTTCAATTTCAGCTGCACAATCTGAGTCATCAAATCCTGGAAGAGAAGAAAAACATAGCAAAAACTGTGATGGTGGGAATCTGCTATATACCCCTGGTAATGATAATCACAGTTTCAAATTAGAAGCTCAAATTAGAAAGTAGAGGTTTCAGTTATTTGACTAATGATTGCCATGGGAGATAATGCTTCAGGGAGTATCTATAAAGTCTGGATTGTTTCCTGATAGCAGCCTTCTTTCTGATATAATACTATGGAACAAGTATTTCCAGAAGAGTGTGCAGGTCTCTGCAGAACAGATATTTTCTGATGTCCTTAATTTAATTACTTTTCGTATAGTTTTATCTTTTTCAAAATCTCTTTTGGAAACAAAAATAAAGTGCCAACAAAACCAACCAACTAAGCCAACAAAACAAACCAAAACTTTTCTAGAAGGTCCAAAAAGTCCAATTTCTCTAAAAGTTTTAAAACAGATTTCAGTGACCCTCCCTCATTCATTGTCATTATTAACCAGGGACAGGGGTAAGAACTATTGTACCTGTTTCATTCTCATCTTTTTCCAGTGCAGGGATGTCATGTTTTCCTTGACTTTGAATTATCTGGTGCTTCTACAACAAAGTACACATCACTGCACACTGTCACTTTTGGAGGTGATCAGCACTGAGCAAATTTTGTACATCCAACAGCATCCACTTGGGACAAGGTTACTAATCCTTATGAATTCAGACGAACACTAGTTGTGTAGGTAATTGGAAAGGAAAATGTCTTCTCAATGTTAAATATTGCTTTAAAGAAATTATTTTCTTGCAGTGATCAGTGTAACGTAGAGTAACAGTCAGTGGCAGAACCTCCCAGAGAGAGGAAACAGGAGTGATACTGGGTGTACAAAAAGTTTTGAACTACCCTCCAGCCACATCTGGAGTGGGAATATAGAAATTTCCTGAGCGGAAGCCTTACTGAGGTCTGAATATACTCTAGAGTAGTTTTTGTGCAGACCTTGGTCCACAGATGAAAAGTATAAGCAGATTCAAGTGTTACATGCATGCACTGATATCATGAGAAACTTCCCTCCATACTACCAATGAAGTCATAAGCAACTATTCCACTACTAACAAAGGATTTACTTGATTACAGTTTGGAGTTCTTTTAAAAGTTCCACTGTTACTGATATTTCTTGTATAAAAGTTCCACTGTTATTTCTTGTATTACTTTTGCTTATATATTTTTCAGAGAGTTCAAATAAAACATGCTGGTACATTTCTCAGTCAGGTGAGCTTGAATAGTATTTCTCCTTTTCTTCCCAGGTGCCTATGCCAAAGTGTGCCACAGCTGTGCTCCTTCATCTTCTCGTGGTGAGCATTCACTTACCAGTGTAATTCCAACACAAACAGGTCTGATTAAATTATTTTCTAAAGCAAAATCCCCTGCCATCGAGTGGCCCTGACTCCAACACTCTTACTTTCTCCAGAAGATTCCCTGTGGAACATGCCACTGAGCTTTGGGAACTGCACATTGTAAAACCTGTACTGGAATTGGTACCCAGCTCAGTAGTGTCACTGCCTGCCCACGGCTGCTGAGCATCAGAGCCCTCCTGTCCCACTGACCCTCAGAGGCACTTTCAGGTGGAAGTTTGTATGACACCGGTCTACACACAGCTGTTGTTGGCTCTTAGCCTTCATTCCTGGCAGCTAATGCAGGTGAAACTGTTTGGCAGCCTGCTGACAATTAATTCTAGCATACAAATCCTCTTCCTCTTTTCCCTTAAAATAAGTGGGGTGTGAGGCTGCTGGGTTTCTTTTCCATTTCCTCTAGGTTTGGGTTGTTTCCCCTGCCATATAAATTAACACGTGCATGGTCAAGATCAATATCCAAATGTGCAGTTTTCAAGAGCATAAAAGAATCTGTAACGTACGGAAGCTTCAGATATCAGCTTCAAACTTAGGCTCCTGGGTAAAATTCAGATAGACTAAAAGTGCATCTTCTTTTAGATCATCTGAGTGTGTTCCTGAACATGCCATGCGAGCCAGGCTCTATTGCACCAAGAATTAATTTGCACAGGCAAGGAAAATCTTCTGTACAGTGTACTACCAGGATAAGATTTTCAAATGGAAGCATGTATTCCATAACTTACACAGTAGCAAAATACCCATAATAGTACTTTCTTTAATAAAAATAATTTTAACTTTTTTCCTTGTTCTAATGTTCTAGAAAACGGTCACGATATGACTCATTAAGCAGACAAAATAAGTTTAATGGAGATGGCTTTCCATTTACGTAACTCAATCATTAGTAGAAAAAATAATAGCTAAATATTGAGCCTTCGAATCTTTGAATTATATATAAATGGTGTCATACACACCTAATTATTTAAGAACTCAGAACAACTCCAGTAACCTAGGATTATTAATTGAAATGTCTGAGATGATGTTTGTTTTCAAAATAATTTCTCTTTGCTTTGTTTTGCTCTTGTTCCCTTTCTAAAAAACGAAGGCAAGAGAGGCAGGATAGAATACAAGTTGTATGCATCATTCTCTGAGACAGTCAATGGCTGAGGTATAAAATGTCAATTATTCATGAAAAGTAAATGTCTATGGTTAGTTTTGAATCCTACATTTGGGTCTGTCTGTGAACACATCAAATCACTAATAATGATTTTAATTCAGGCCAAATGTTCTGGGAAGTTTCTGTTTAGGGAAATAGCACAAAAACTACACCAGAAAGCACTTTGATTTGCTGGGGGTTCATGTTTAACACTGATATCTTCATGACTTTGCCACATTTAACAACAAAAAGGGAAACAGGCTGTGAGGAGAACTCGTGGAATAATACGCTCCTTTCTTGACTTCAGGTAAGGAGTATTCGGAAAGAGAAGCACTTCAGAAGTCCTATTATGCAATACGTGGATAGGCCTTTTTCAGACTTCTCCCAGCTTCAGGGAAGGCTTTTCATGGAATGACTTAAGATCGTGTTTAGCATTTTGCATATTTGTACCACAATTTGGATTTTTCAAAGAATGTTATTTTATTAATGGGATTTAATTTAGTCCTATTCACCTAATTTTTCCTGTGTCATCTTAAAGATACAGTAATGTGTACATTGAAGAATTTTGTGTTTCTTGTTTTTTCTGTTTGGTTTTGTTTGGGGTTTCTTCTGGCAATGGTGGTATTTGTAAAGCTGATCTGCTTGCCGAGGTCGTTCCATCATTTTTTAACTATTACTTGATGAAAGCTGTGTAGGTGCGGAAAACATGCCTTTATATTTTGACGACTCAAACTTGAAGATGGAACATTTCTGTTTAGCTGAATGGTAACATGTGCAGACATACTATCCCACAAGAAAGTCTAACAGCACTGTGTTATCTGAGCCGAGAACCGTGTCCCCTGTTGGCGGGCGTGAGTGCACGTACTAAGTTACTGGCTGAGGGTGCTTGTAGTGAGGGGAGATTTGCTGGGGTTTATTTTTGTTGGGATGAAATGCTTCCTTTATTTATGTATGCTGTCCAGACAGCAGCAACCACTCTTTATGAGACTGGATGGGAACAACCTGTCCTTTGGTGTTACAAAGGAGACAGGGTCTAACTGGACTAAAATTACTGGACTTATGGGGGAGAAGGTCACGACATGCTTGTAAGTTTCAGAAACAAGCTTATTTCTTGTTCTATAATTTAGAAAGGATTTGCTGGTTATTGACCTTGTGTAAGAAATCTGAGTGGTCAACTTTGTGTCTGTTAGGAGTAAGAGAAACCTTGAATAGATTTGCAACATGCAAATCTTAAAGTTGGCTTCAATTTTCAGCTTATTTCTAACCAAAATGAAAACCAAACAAGCTTGGAAAACTTACAGAATCACAGAATCAACCAGGTTGTAGAAGACCTTTAAGATCATCAAATCCCAATCATTCCCCAACACTGCCAAGGCCACCACTAACCCATGTCACTGAGGGCCTCATCTACACAGTGCGTGAACACTTCGAGGGACAGTGATCCCACCACTGACCAGGGCAGCCTGTTCCAATGCCTGAGCACCCTCTCAGTTGAGAAATATTCCTAATATAGCACCAAAAATACTTTGTAAGAGGGATGAATTTCTGTTAATGAATAAATAAAAAGCTTTGCCTAAACAGAGGATAAATGTCAAACACCCCTCTTTACCTTGCCTTTACAATAGGTTGCTATTAAAGGCAAATGTGCACAGCTTGTGCATATCGATGCCAACCCACAGAAGCAGTAGTCGAAATCAGAGGTGAGCATGATAACTTTAGGGTGTGCAAGCTCAAAGCCAGCTCTCCCCACCTCTTGATCCCCTTGCGCAGCCTTCAGATGGCGGCCAAGATAGGAAGGGAAAGGGCATGGAGGTGGTTTTACTCTAAAATGTAACTGCATTTAAAAAAAATATTTACATTACAGCTCTGTAGAGACTGGCTTGCAAAACTTTTCTTTCTGTAATGCTCCTATGAACATGATTCTGGTATTTGTAGTACTATAGGTGTAAAGAAGGAAAGTGTAGTGTTCTTAGAGGACCCCAAGTAGTTTTGATGTAGGTCAAAGAATAAAACCTAGCAAAATAAATTCTGTGTGAACAAGATTCATGTGATAAGCAGCATAACAGAAATTAAATTCTGTTTTAAAACCAGTATCTAGGATCCTGGTGGATGGATATGGAGGGTTTGTCCATGTATTATTGCACTATGCTGGATGATGGAAGGAGGCGATTGTGAAAGGGACTAATAACACAGGCACACTTAATGAACAGAACAGCCACTTACAGTCAGAAGAGAACATGTTTCTGTTTAGGGCATGAAGGAGATTATCAGCTCTAGATACACCCCTTTCACAAGCATGTTAGTTTAATCATTTGAAAATCAAGTGTGAAGGAGTTCAGTAGCTTCCTCAAGGTCAGATCACACCCTGATTAAGAAACAGCTGCATCTAACGGATGTGGTAATTCGTGTCTCTTAAACTAAAGATTTCCCTTCCCAGGCAGATGCTGTGAATGCTGGTTAAACTTTTCCTATTAATATTAATAACGTGTTTTATTCATAAAAAAAAAAACCAAGAAGCATTGAAAGATGCTATAGATTTGTAGAGTTAGTCATGCATGTCAACTAAGCTTCACACAGCCAATTAGTTTGTGTAATTTTTAGAAGTGCCTTATAAAAAATGCTATTTTAATCAATTTATCAGTTGATGTGTCTGAAATGTATCAATAGCAGCTGAGTGCATCCACCGCAGCAGCGATATTTTCTGTATGACTGCGTTAATTTCAATTCTAACACTTACGTTATCCTGTACGTTACTACTAGGCAAGAATTTGAAACAAAACAATCTCATTAAGCCAAATAAAGTAAAAATAATACTAGGAGTATACTGGGTACAGTGTAGTCCTCATGACAGTTCAAATGAGGAGAACCTCTGTATTTAAAACAGTGGTGATTGCAAGTTGAAAGTGGGATCAAAATTAGATGGAGTTAAGCTAAGTAATCGAAGGTACACTTATGTGATAAGGATAATTTGACTGCAAACTGGATCTGGTTCAGAGCCAGTAGGATTCCCAGATCTCGAGCAGGGGCTTGACTGCTGCCAAACCCTTTGAAGGCAAAGCCTTTGGCCACAAAGCAAAATGTGGTCCCCAAGTGCTAGAGTTCTGGTCTAGACGGAAACTTACTGAAAGTTTCTCAATCGCTGTCACTATCATCCTCCTTGATCAAATTAAGGGTCTTTGATAAAGTAATAAAATAAGACAGATTATCTCAAAGGTACACTAAGCACTGTTTGGTTTCTATTCTCCCGCCGCAGTGTTTAATAACTGCAGACAAATTATAAAACCACATCTTACCATAAACTTGATAGTTGCTCTGAGCCAGTATTACTAGAAGGATGTACAGTAATATCCTTTTTATCAACATGACTGGAGAAGCCTTCATTCTCTGGGCATGGTAGAGAGGAGAGGATCTTGTGGGTTTAAAAAGTGCAGTTCGGATAGCCTCTTGCATCCTGTTAGGTTTACCTGGGGTATATGTCTGAGCTGATTCCCTTTTCTGGTTCTTCTGCCAAGACAGTGAAGAAAAGGGGCGGGGAAGCAACGTATGTGCAAAAATCTGATGGGTTACACCGTTGTCTTTTTGTGTGGTTGAAATATGAATTGCTTGATCATTTCACATCACCTCAGAACTCCTCTGCAATTCAAGGTAAAACATCTTTCATGCTTCTCTGGCTCCCCTCTTCAGGGTAACATATAGCTGCTGGGTTTGGGTCTTGTTTGTTTGGGGTTTTATTTTCAGGATGCTATTGAGATTTTGACTTTAAAAGCAGCAATATAGCAGAGAGAAGGGATGTGCAACGGTATTTTAAACCTGTTCAGTCCTTCTGTACTACTCTAATTCAACATTAACAAATTAGGAAGCTGAACAAATTCACTATTCACAAGGTGGTAAACGTCAGAAATGCATGTCTGAATAGGTTTAATTTGCATTAGATTAATTTACAGTAGTCTGCACTATAGAAGATATTGCTTCCACTATTTAGTCTTAGTATACTCACTACATAAGGCTGAGTAATTTGAGTTTGGACTTTGTAGGTTCTTTTTTAGCACATCCTCAACACCTTTTCCCCTAAATATTTTTTAAACACTGAACCATTTAGCTGAACGTTCCAAAAAAAATCTGCCAATGCAGTTTCTTCATAAAGTTAAAACAAAACTAAGTTTGAACAGGAACTTTGTATCTAGCAATTATCACTTATGCTTATAATGCAAATAGAACAACTACAAACAGGAGCCAGGGAAGAAACTAATGCAGTTATGAAATCCTATGTTAAAACGGAGTGGTTTAGACTTGACACGAGGAAACATTTCCTTGCCAAGAGGGTGATCAAACACTGGAACAGATTTCCTAGTGAAGCAGTCGATGCCCAACCCTGTCAGTATTTAAGAGGCATTAATAATACTCTTTAAACTTGTGGTCAGGCAGTTGGACTAGATGATCATTGTAGGTGTCTTCCAATAGAACTATTCTATTCTAAATACTTCATGCCTTTTAGACAAAATATATGCATATTATGCTCTAACAAAAATCTAAATTATCAGGATTTTTTCAAAGTAATATTTTGGAGAAAATAATTGAACAGCTTTCCATAATTTCACGATTGGAAATGTCTGGCTAAGTAAGCGATGATCATGAGAATCTTACTAAAGTTTGTGAGAAACTGAAATAGCCTTACCAAAACTACAATCCAGCCTAAGTGGAAAATATTTATGAAAGTAAACTCCTAGATTTAACTTCACACATAGCATGCTTCCACCTGAGACAAAATACTAGTACCAGGGTGCATTTCTGTATAGTGAAGACATCTAGTGGCTAAATCCATAGCAAGTTTATTAAAACTGGTTATTAAAGGATGTGTTTCCTGGCAGTGTAATTTCTGCCTGTGCAGATGCCGAGTTATCTGAAGTTTATGCTGCAAATTTAGTATTAGTAGTTGGTACTTGACCTCTGTATTCTTATTAGAAGAACTGGTTTGAGCTGTTGTCTTTTGCTACTGTCTGAAGCTTTTTAATAAGATAAGGTTATGTCTGTTCTCTATGGTGTTTTGAGATCAGCTTTCTAGGCGGGTAATTCCTTGTTGGTAACTATGTGGAAGCATTATGAACTGTAAGACAGGTGCTGTCCTACATCAGCCTTTCAGAAGAGGTGAGATGGGTCAGAGTGGCAAGGACCACATACTCCCTGCACTGCATACTCTATGTGGCTTGTGAAGATTCTTTACTTTGCATTTTTTAATAGTAAATATCTTGGATAGTCATCTGTATTTTGGAGCCCCTTTCTCAAAAAGGCTTGGGCAAATGTGGCTTCTATCACTGTCGACACTTCATTGCTTCCGTTACCTGCTTTCTGCTTGTTCTCTCAAGTGGTGTCAGCTCATTCAATGCAAAGTTGGTTAAGAATCTAGTCAGCATTTTCTGTATACAGAACACTTGACTAAGTTTAAGCATGAGTATCATAGTTATTGGATTTGTCTTAAGGTAATGACAAGCTTCAGAAATGAGGGGAGGGATGAAGCAATTTAAAGCTACTTAGAAAATAATTAAGGTAAGGAGGTCTCATTTAATGCAGTGAAGTTTAATACTGAATTTGGCAGCTATTCTGTACACTGAAGAACACATTAAAAAAGCACTTGTGGGAAACCAACATACATCCCCCACACACACCAGGAACCTCTAAAGCTCCTACACACCTGCTGAATGATACCCTGCCCACTGCATTGCTATAAGCTGCTCTGTTGGTTAGGAGAAAACGTAAGATTTCCTTATTTTCCTCAGGGACACAGTAGTTCTCACTGAACAGAAAGATCAGATAGGAGGGAAAAGTAGAAGTATCCACTGAAAGGCAGTAGAAACTTCCTAATGAATGTGTACTCTTATTTTAGTGTGGTTGTGGACCACATACAAATATTTCACTGCACTTAAGTAATCCTCTGCTTTTACTTCACCTTCCTATGCACTGCTAGACATGAGAAGACACGAAGAGAGTACTTAATGTTTTTAACATTAATAAATATAAACTGCTTATGGTTGCTTGTCTCAGCTGAACATGGGCTTTGCATACCAGCTGAAACTTGTAATCTTCTTCATGTCCTCCTTCAGGTATAGCAGAAATCTTCTAGTAAAATAGTTCTTTCGCAAGACTGAATCTAATGTTTCTGGCTTTTCAAACCTAAAGTGAGCATGGAGTTGGGACGCTCAAAAGTTAGATTTGGGCTTAGTTATTCAGCAATTGTTTATAACTTTTATTTTATACTTAGTTTTCTACTTTATAGACTAGAACTGTATTACGCATACCCAGTATGTAACATTTAGCTTCAGGGCATCACTGGTCTTGAGGCTGCCAAGCCTAAGTTGCAGTCGCTCTTTGTATCCTACCCTTAGCCTGCAACTTGTATGTTACTTGAGCTGTCCTATCTGCTTTCAAGTATGAAAGAGGTGGCCTCTACCACCAGAAGACCCACAAATTCCAAATCCGTTGTAGAAAAAATGGAGGGATGGAGAGAGGAAAACAAAAAAGCCGAAACACAAAACCAAACCAACCCCCTTATCTGAACTAAGAACTGCACAGATTGTCTATCCTTCAGCCCCTGTTATCCATCCCATGCAAATGACAAATGTCAAACCTAATTATCAGTATAAATGTGGCCTAAAAGCAGTTACGTATACTTCAACCAGCTGCATCTTGGATATAGGTTAAACTGCATCATTCAGTTAGGACAGTAAAACGTCACTGCAAGAATTTAGCATGGCTCAATTGCTAAACTTTAAATACATACTTCCATTCACCCAATTCTTCCACACAAATCCTTACTGACACATTGATTCTGCAAATACACATATGCTGTTTCACAGAGGAATTGTCCACACCAGAAAACTTTACAGAAGGATATGTTTATTTTAATGCTGCTTTTCCATTTGATATAGGGGGCAACAAAAAGCAAATTGATCTTAATGTGCTGTGACCTGAAAATGACTAAAAATGAGAAAATGATTAATAAATTCATGAATCAAGAAGTTACACTAGTTCATCACTGATCCATCATGAGATGTCAAGTGAGGTAAGAATTCAGGAAAAGGAATGTGTAAACAATCAAATTTACACTTGATAATTTTGGTGGACTGATGCTATTCACTCACTTTTCATTAAGTCTGTAAGGAAGAAAGAGATCAAATTGTGACTCTTTTGCACATAGTTCGGAAAGACTTTATTCTTCCACACTGCAGAAACCCTTTCTGAAAAGACCTGAAGTATTAGGCAGCTGCAAGATGCTATACCTACCAGTTGTTTACTGCAAACAAATGTCAAAATGTGTAACAATTATTTCACTTGGTGTTCGCTTGCCATAGAAGGCATAATTAGGGAATTTCTGTCACCATGAAGGAAGTCACGTACTCAACAGGAAACAGGGGTTCTGGTTAACCAGTCCTGTATAACTGGACTTCATTGTGATTGTACAGATACATCAATGAACTGCTTCAACATGTAGTTTGATATTACCTTAACCTACAAGAACAGCATGTAGATTCTTTATTTTCTCCTGTCACCACCCATTTCTGCAATCTTACATTATCATATGTGAGTTGCCACATGTTGTTTATCCACCTTCTTGGCAAAATAAGAGATCATGCATAAATTCTATGAAAAAGGAGTTCCTTTATTTTTGCTTTGTTTTTAAAGAACCATTTTTCCATTACCAAGTGAAAACTTTACAAAGTAAAGTATTTATCTTCCAATAATATTTTAATATAAAAACTTAAATCACTTACTCTGGTTTTACTGTTCTAACATGAAGTCTTGTGGCACTGCAGGATCCAGGTATTTTCAGCCTCATTCTAGTATCTACTCACAAGTTCATGACTTGTTTAAATAAAACCATTTCTGTGGCCACTTACCATTAGTGAAACATCCCTACTACCAAACCAAAAATAAAGCATCCTCACTAGCCCAAAAGAGCCTAAACTTTTAATAGCATTATTACAGTGAGAAGCTTCAATTAAAAAAAAAAAAAAAAAAAAAAGATTTATTTTGCAAGTTAGACACAATCTTAAAAATGTACAAAGACAACAAGCACTCAAATTACACAAAAGACTTAGCAGGGAGTACAATGTGAACACAACAACAGTGATTCTTGCCTTTCTTTATATGTAAATATAAATAGAGATTATCCTTGCCAAACTTCCAGCTCTCCCCCCTTCCCCACTCCTAAAAACCAGCTCATTATGCTGAAAAACGTTGCAGGGAACATTTCACTGTTCAGCTCAAGAGAACTGCTAAAAGGGGCTCTGGCTAAAAATAGTCCTATCATGAGAATATCTCATACTTCGCAGAACCAAGTTTCTCTCTCAATCGAAAAACAGCTTTCCCTTTCATTATGTCAAATG